GCAGGTGCAGGGAGCGGCCCGGCGGCGCGGCCGGAACCCTTGCGGGGCTCCGCGTGCGGCCGGGCGCGCTCGCTTCCTTCCTCCCTGGCGCCCGCTGCCCGGGAAGCTGTGGCTTTCTGTTCCTCTCGGCCGAGACCTCGGGCGCCCGGGGACGAGTCCGCTCCGCTCCCTCCACTGCCCAGCCATCGGGCCCGCCGGCGGAAATAGGTCATCTTTCTTCCCACGCGCCCCTGGCCGTGGTCCACGCGCGCAGTGCCCTAGTAGGGAGGGGAACCGAGCGCTTCAGAGTTTGCCATTCTGGCTTTGGAACTCCTCCTCCGCGTGGCTCCGGCCTGGCGAGGGGACTCTGCGAGCTCCCGGTGCACGGCCAAGAGGCTCATTAGCGACGTGCGCCACTTGCTGCGGGGCCTACTGGCCCGGGGCTGCTGGCGAGCCTCGTCCCCGGAGCGTCCGCGCACTCGCAGCCCCTCCAACACGTGATTTTGTTTTTCTGCAGGAAAGAGGCTATGTTGCAGACGCGAAGATACTTTGTAAGTGTGCTGGCGGAGTAATTGTGCTTTTCAGAACCTGCCAGGAGTTTAACCGTTTAGTGATGGCGCTGCTGAATCAGGGTGGTGGTGGTCAGAACCCCTAGACCTGAACGCTGAGAAGTGGGGAGTTCATCTTGTGGAAAGGACACTGCTTCCTCTCCTACTTTCTCCTCTAAAAGTACCCGAATAATATTTCAGGCTGAACGAAACCGTCGTCGGGGAGTGGTGTTTCAACTTTTCTCTCTGCCATTGAAATTTGCCCAGAGTTGATTGAACCATGACATATATACAGTGTTTAATAGGACTGCTGTACACGGAGTTACCAGTTTAACTGCAGGGGTGAATGGTATTTTGGTGAAATTCTAACAATTTAGGAACGAGTTTTTCTCTGGCTTAAAAAAGTGTGTAAAGCCAAGTTCTCCCCCAGCTGCAGAGCAACCTTTGTGTGGTTCCCCTTTCCGTCTGCCCCTCCCCCGCTCGGTGTTGAAGACAGAATTCATACCTGAAACGGAGCTCCAGTCCGAATGGAGTGACGTGGTCGCTGCCCCTCTTCCCTCCGCCGATGTGCCCCCATCCCAGGGCTGTTTTTCCTGGAATGGGATGGATGTGGGACTGGGAGGTTTTACCTGTGTGCGGTGTAGGAACGAGACTTTCTGTTAATTTTCTGGTCCCGTAAGAGCACAGTGAATTTGTCCCTGAGGAAGTAACGCTGTGCAGTGGCGTGGTCATTCAGGCCCCATTTTGATAAATCTTTGCTTTAGGAACCACTGGATACCGAGAAGAACGTGAAAGTTCTTAAATGTTTTCTTGTTCTGAAGTTCAACCACTGGAAGTGTTTTCCTTTTAAGAGCGCTGATAGTCACTGAAGCCTCCTAAAAACGCTCGATGTTCTCATACCTAGAAGAGTGTGACAGATGACCGCGCTAGAGACAGTGTCAGCACCAGCACTTCAGAGCCTCGGTTGTGGTAAAACTTCCGCAGATAATCTTGGAATCAGTCCACTGATAACCAGATACCTTTCTGGTGTGTTCCCCCTGCAGACGCTGACACCTGCATGTGCTCAAGTCCCTTATATAAAGTGGTGCCGAGGTTTTGCAGAACCTGTGTGCATCCTGCCGTACCTGCAATCGTCTGTCAGTTACTTGTCCTATCCAGTACAGGGTCAGTACCTGCCTTGATGTACTGCGTGTTTTTAATAATTTTTTAAAAACCCGAAAGACTACATGTTCAGTGCAGGTGACATTTCCAAACATTTCGGTCCACCGTTTGTATCTGGACCCAAGGGTAAAGGTTGTGGGAGGGAGGAGGCTGACTGCGCAGGGTGTGTGCCACCAGGAGTTTTAGTAAAAGTGAGAGTAAGAACACCACGCTCACGTCAGGGTTCCTCAGTGCTTTTTGGCCAAATGTCAATTTAGTGTGAGGCTTTGCAGCCTCTCTGTTTGAATTACATAGTATCCTTTTACTTTCACATGTGACCAATAACACTGTATCATTATTGTGTGTCTTCCTCTGGAGGTTCTTTATCGTTAGAAACGGCCGCCTCCTCCAGGGTACTGTGCGCCCCTTCTCTCCGGGGTGGAAGGAGGTTTCTGGGGAGTAAGCTTTCCCTGGTTGGACCAGAGTCTGGGAATGGAGCCATAGTTGTGTTGCTCTGAAAATGACTAAAAGGTGTTTAGTACTGTGGCATTAAATATTTTTAACACAAGAGTGAAATACTTTTATTTTAGTGTTACTTTGGGAGTTGCTTGTAGCCAGTTACTTGCTTTCTCAGTTTACAGTTTTGACCCTGTAGGTGGACTCCTTTTTTTATTAGTGAAGAATGTTTTCTCTTGCCACAGCCACTGAAGTGTTTACGTCTTGGATGTCAGTTTATTCTGATTAGGACTAATATACTTAGGACTTCTTGCATTTACATTTTTCTGTGGCTTTCATTTGTGCATCTGTAGTTATACTTTACTTAGCAAAATGGATTTCGTTTCATCACTTCATTTACCTAGTCATAAAATTGAAGGTGTTATTTTGATGTGGAGATACTGATTTTCTATTGTTTACTATCAATGTAAAAATAGATTTCTAACAATATTAATTCACTTACTTTTCTATTGTTTTTTTTCTTTTTCTTCTCTAAATAGCCTTGTGGGGGGAAAAAGTTAATTCAGAAATTTACAATACCAAAAGCCTGCTGTTTGTTCTTTTTTTTTCTTTTTGGTTTTGGTTTTTTTTTTCCTGTACCAGGAATCGAACTCACGACCTTGTACTTGACAGGCAGGCGCTGTGCCGCTGAGCTAAATCCCCAGCCCCTCTACTGTTCGTTCTGGAATTCACCCAGTAACTCAAGCCAGAGATTAGATGTTGTAGACCCCATTTCCATTTGGGAGTCTCCTCCCAGGTTTTTCAAGTGTGTCAGACTACAAGAGGTACAAACATAAATAATTGATATTTATTCAGCTGAAATCAATTTGACTGAAGGAAATGATTTCAAATTATTATGAATAAAATTCCAATATCAGTGTTAAGACTTGGAAATTCTTACGTTAAATACTTTCCAAGAAGTAAAGTCTCAGTCAAGGTAGAGCCCTGGTCTCCTGGCTGACAATGGAAGACAGAGCTCACGCTGAGGTTAACATTTTGAAAGTGATCTGAGTGGCGCTGATTACCAAGCCAGAGTCAAATTTTAACCTTCTCCAAGCCCCTCTCGGAAATGGGGTGGGCTGGGAGGGGATAGAGGGACACAGCAGAAAGGACTGGAAATTGTCTATAGATAATCAGATGTCTATGAAGACTCTTTAAATTTTTTAAAAAATTGACAGAAATTATATATACACAGAACCCAAAAAATATGCAGTATTTTAGGTTTATTACTCTGTATGATCTTGAGTTTCACTCTCTGTTTTTTAAAGAATACATTAACACGTAACAAGTCTAAAACGTTCTTGTAACTAACTGGGTGATATAAAAAGTCTCAATCTCAGAAAGTAGGCATGACTCTTTAATACCAGTAGTTTACTAGTAAGTGCAGTTAAGAGAAAGTGAGGATTCATGTTGAAAAATACTCATTGAGCTGCTTTTTCCACAAAGCACTTACCAGTAGCTTAACAAAGTTTTTCATTTGTTGATTATAATAATTTAGCATTGTCGTGGTCACCTAGCTGCTTCTGCTTTTTTCTTGTCCGTGGCATTGAGACATCCATGTGTGATGTGCTTGACTGGGGAGAAGCTCCTTTGGAAGTTTTGGTCATGTCTCAAATTTAACTGCTGTCACTCCTGTGTATTTGGACAAGGTGAGCAGAATAGCTTTGCCCTTTTAACAGACTTAAAGAAAGGAAAATGTTACATCTACAGTATGTTTTACTATTGCAATACAATGTTACTTTGAATGTCAGAGACACAGTTTTTATAGTGCTTATGAGAACCATGGCTGGTTTTGAGCTAAATCTTTGACCTATTACTGAGTATCTGTAGCACTTGTCATCAGCTGAATCTATCCTCATGTATAAGTTAACCTCTTTTTATTTATTTATTTGTTTATTTTTTATTTTAAAGAGTAAAATAAGGATAACATAGTAATGGGGGGCTTACCGAGTTACAAAGTGGTAGGAAATTATCAATGGTTGTTGTTTTACATATTGTTATCTATAAGATAGTTTCTCAGGAAAACAAATAGACAAATAATAGTGAGTTACAGACAAAAGTGGTAGGAGATTATCAGTGGTGGTTGTACTATGCTTTGGTATCTTCAAAGTGGTTTCTAAAGAAAATAAATTGAGCTATACATGAGTGACCAATTGAATAATATCATTGA